AGAGAGAGAGAGAGAGAGAGAGAGAGAGAGAGAGAGAGAGAGAGAGAGAGAGCTGAGACTTGGTGACTAGTCGGACCATGCCCATGACTCACACACCACTTTCAGGACGGAGACTCTTCGGGGATGATTGAGGCGACTATTCTTTCTACTGGGACATTGAGTTGCAGTCTCCCCTTCTTCCCCTCTGTCTCCATCATCCAACTCCTTCGTCTGTAGATTCTCTCTATCAGCGTGTGGGGCATGGCAAAAATCTTCTGATTATGAGTGTCCATGCCCATCCCAATTGTGTGCGTGGTGATAGATGTATGTGTCGGTTCTAAGTCCTGATCAGTCTGGTCTGTGCTTTTCAGTCTTCCGCAGCACGACATTGTTGTTTTTATCCCTTGGTGTATCCTTGGTTCGGCCCGGCTGAGACAACCCGGGCCACCTGGCTGAGACAACCCGGGCTGCCCGGCTGGTAACACAGATCGGCATGCAATTGGCTGTCTGTCTCCAGCTTTCGCTCTGTCCTTCTGGCCACCACAATCCCAAAATCGTTTTCTTTTCTTCTTCTTCTTCTTCTTCTTCTTCTTCTTCTTCTTCTTCTTCTTCTTCTTCTTCTTCTTCCTCCTCCTCCTCCTCCTCCTCCTCCTCCTCCTCCTCCTCCTCCTCCTCGTCTTCGTCTTCGTCTTCGTCTTCGTCTTCTTCTTCTTCAATCAGGAGGGGTAGAAGGGTTGGACATTGCATGATATGCATCTGGCATCTGGGGGGTGCCACTTTCATTGCAGAGTTGTGGAGGCAAACTTGTCTTTGTGCCCTTGGGGAAAAAAGAGGGAAAATCACGGTCTTTGGCTGAGGCAGTGAAAGGTAGTGCAGGTACTCCAAACTCTTGGCATGTGCGGGAGGATTGTCTGGCGTTTCTCTTGGAATCAATGTGAAGTTGTATATACATGACAGCAATTATGACTTCGATTTGATGATGACAAGCCATTGACTATGCTTGTGCTTTCTGCTGCTTCTGCCGCCGCCGCCGCCGCTTCTGCTGCTGGTGATGATGGTGGTGCTGTGCAGTTAACGAAGAATCGCAGAGTGACCGTAAAAGAATGGCAGGGAAAGCCTGTAGTGGACATCAGAGACTTCTACGAGAAGGAAGGAGAGGTGTTGCCGACAAGGAAAGGTGAGAGGATGTCGTCAAGTTCGTGCTCTCTTCTCCGTCGCCACACCATCCTGATCTGTTCCCATTCATTCTTGCTTGTTATGCTTGGTTGCTCTCAGCAGACCGTGTGTGTTGTTTTCCCCTTTTTTTTTTTT